CCCAACCCCCCCAGTCTCCAAAAATCCGATTGTGTTTTCTCCAAGGATTGGGACTGGATTTTCTGATTGCGGTTATTTCCATGTTTCTAGGTTTGTGTGATTTTGCTAAAATGCATCACCAACAGCGAATGGCTGCCTTAGGGACGGACAAAGAGCTGAGTGATTTACTGGATTTCAGTGCGGTAAGAAAGAACGGTGGAAACTAACAACAGCTGTGAAAAAAAACAAAACAAAACAAAAAACCAGACACTTAAGCTAGAAACCAATAGTAATCTAAAGGACAGGAATAATTTTTAATTGGCTGAATCCTTGGTAAATATGAATGTCTTTTTTACAAGTTTTTAACTATAATTTTTGGGTGTGATGGAAGATTCAGGCTTTTGTTTTTCCGACTCTAATTACTTGCCTCGAATTCTCTGCCCACCGATTCCCCAAAATAATGGAATCTAACTCCAGTGGAAAGGAAAAACAGACTCCTCTAAAACTACAAACCACCCCTAAAACTTGGCCATATCTGAACACAGAGAGTACTAATACTTTGCGCACTACTCTTCGTTTTAATTTATTATTTTCTGGAAATAGAAAAGAGGAGACCCAGTTGTCTCTTTAAAGTTTTAAACTGATGATGCTTTGGATTAGTAGGACCTGTAGTCCTCCTAGCTACATCTTTTCCTGGGATTCTGAAAACTAGTATGTATATGCTGAGCATACATTCTTTAGAACCCTTTGGACTGTTCTGGTAAATTTCATAGTCGTGAGATCAGCACAAAGCGGAACTTACACACTTGTGGAGTTTTACGGCTGTACTTGGTCCTTCTCCATCCCTTTGCTTCCCTTTCCCAAACCAAGTCCCCAACCTGTCAGGGGAATGAAATTCATTTTTAATGCCAGATGAGTTTGGTGTACGATGCATTTGTAAAGCAAAATAAAAAGAATCCACAAAACACACAAATAAAATCCAAACTGCCTTCTAAGTGGGGCTCTTTCATGCTGCTGCTACTGCTGCTGCTGCTGCTCTTCTAGACCTTCTTTTGGAGAAATGGCTTTCGGAAGTTTTGCCAGGAAACGTAGCCCTGGGCAGCTTTGCAGCCCCCTTTCTGCTTGCTGCACTTTCTCCATTCGTTCCTTTGCTTTTTGCAGGCTCTGACTCAGGGAAGGTGTGCATTATCCACTAGATACGTCGAAGAAGAGGGAAACCAATTAGGGTCGAAATAAATGCTGGAGAGAGAGGGAGTGAAAGAGAGAGTGAGAGTGTGTGAGAGAGAGAGAGAGAGAGATCCTTGCTTCAAATTGCTCTCATGTTAGAGACGAAATGAGAATTTAGTGCAGGTGGCACTTTTATTTTTATTTGGGTTCACATATGACAGGCAAATCCTATACGGGATGGAAATGGACATTGCCACGTTTATGGCCAAGGTTTTCAATATAAAACAAACAACTTTTTTCTTCTCCTTTGTGAAACTAGTGTTTTCTAGAGAGGTTGCTGCCCTCCAACCTGAATCTTGATAACATTATGGGGACTGTATGTGTTCAAATTGTAGTCGTACTGCTTGGCAATCTAATGAACCTGAGAGGGGGAAGAAAAAGAACAGTGGTAATGGGGGGGGGAATTTGTAATGTTGTGCCTGTTTTAATTTTAAGTTGGATGTTGATGTGTTTTACTATATAAACACTTAGCATAAACTCTAAGTTATTTGATAAGAGTATGAAAGATAACTTGACGAACTCTGAAGGCACAAATATCTTCTTTTCAACTGTAATATTTCTTTGTTTCTTTTAGATGTTTTCACCTCCTGTGAGCAGTGGGAAAAATGGACCAACTTCTTTGGCGAGTGGACATTTTACTGGCTCAAGTATGTAAATTCTTTTCTTAGTGTGAAGTTAAATGTTCTTAGCTGTTTATTTACTCATTGTATATTTTTGGCTCTGTTGAAGTGTTCTGAAAAAGTCATTGAATTTTAGCCTGTAATCATATGGTTATTTCATTATCCATCAGTGGTATAACTTACATAAAAGGTTATCTTTTGCAATTAAAATTAGGTGTTTTTTTGTTGTTGTTAAGCATACTGTCTCAAAATTCCATCACTTAATTTAAAAGCAATTTTCTAATATAGTTGTAATCAAACACGTGAAGATAAGGCCAATGTTAACATGGGGAATAAATTAATGTCCCCTATTTGAAAATAGGGGGAAAATCTAACATTCATAAAAAGAGAAAATCCCTTGTAAATAATATCAGTTATTAGGTACTGTGTACAATTAACTCCTTAAAGAAATGAGCACTTAATTTTGCAGATGAATGCTACGTAGTAAACCATAGCTGTAAATAGCCTCTTGCTAATCTGAGAGGCTAAATATGAATTCATTTATATTTAAAATATCCTTTTTGTTGCTTTGGCTGTTTCTTTTTCTTAATCATTTACTTGTGCCATGAATTTTCGCTATATTTAAAGTTGCAAATTTGGAAGGACTTTTACATTTTATAAATGAAAGATCTTTGGGTGATGCTTAAAAAAGACGTTAGCGCTATTCACAAAGGAATCTGTGTGCACAATGATTATCTGGCATCTAAGGAGGAGTTTTAGTACTGGACTGTTTGGCTGTCTCTTATTAAAAGTGGAGACTGAAAATATTATATTCATTTAAAATGTATTTTTTTGGTTCAATGAATTTCAAATAAGAAAGAGTTAGACATTGTTGCCTGGTTTCCTTTATGTCCAAGGCTTAAATCCATTTATGCTTGTTAAACAGCTGCAGTGTTTTAGGAGTTCTGGCAATGGTACATAACAGTACATTAGGCAGAGTACTATTCTAAAGTCAGACTGGTAAATGTTGACATCTTTTTGCTGTGAGATGCCAGTGGAATTGCCTGTCAACTATGACTATAATTTCACATCTTTTAATATTCTTTTGGTGCCATAGCAGTGAAAGAAATCTGTTCACCTATGTATTTTGCATAATTGATATATTTTTATGCAATTAATGGCTTTTAAACATTGCTGATTTCCAAATAAGGTACTTTTCCTTCTATTGGCCCGCATAAGTTTAGGCAATTTTTGTCTTTATGACTTGACTTACAAAATATGAGATGGCTCCTATGGTTATATTTCATTTTATGTTTTAGTATATTTTGATGAAAAGTACTATTAACAATATGTTTGTGTTTTACTGTCCTGGACCCTGTTATATTTTTCACTTAGGGACTTAGAATTTTGTTGTATTAGTATTATACATTCTAAATTTCTGCATGGTATTCTCTGTATAACTTTTAAGATAGAAAATATTAATATGCATGTCTGAAGAAAAGATGAGAATAAGTATCTCTTGTGGGCACATTAATTTTTCATATTAAACACTATCAAAACAGTAACTAACTTGATCTCAGTGATTTTTTTATGACTTTACTTAAGAAATATATATTCAGTTTAAATCTAAAAGATTATGTCACACAGACACAGAGGTAGACCACTTTCAAAGTCGGTGCAAAATACTAGTTTGCGTTGTTGTAAAATGGATACGTTTGGAATAAATTAAGTATATTAGTTTAGATAGGGTTTAATAAAGTAAGGTGATTTAGAAGTATGAAATTGTATTCCATTTAAAAAGACAATTGTGTGTCTGATTCATTTTCTATGTTCACATTTAAATGAAGTCCTTGCTATGATGTTTAAGGGTTTATAGAGAGTACAGGCTAGGTAAGTTTAATATGTATTGATACACTTTGATAAGTGATTATATATCAAAATTTACATAGTTCTTAAGACAATTATGTATATATTCCTGCATACTTAAACCTAGAGAGAGACTTCACACTTACTAAGCCATGTTACAATATTTCTAATGTATATGCAATGATTATTTTTAGGGTGTTGAACTTTCAGTTACCTTGTAGCAGAGGTGTAGTTTTCAGGACCAGATGTTTACTTGTAAGGGTAAAAAGTGTAGTGGCCCCTTTATTCTGGCTGCCTGATTGAAAATGCAGGGTATTCATTTTATGCAGTATGATGGAGACTGTAATATGTAGGGTATAGATTGGAGTGTTAGTTTTCCTCTATTAAGACATATTTGAACACAGGGCTATTAGTGAAGAAAATGGGTTATATTTCCACTTAATAAAAGATAAATCTCTTTTAAAGCATAACAAATAAAAAAATCATGAAAACTACACTTCGCCCTTCAACTGGAAGGAAGAACTAGGAAACTCTGGAGAGAGAAATAATTTTCAAAATTTACTTCAAGTCAATATCCATTGTCCTGAGTAGACTCAGATGTCACCTTTCATGGGTCCCTTGGAAACTTGGATCTAGGAAAAAAAGATCTAAACTATAGTAGACTATAAGAAAAATCAGCTGGATTTTTTTCAAAGTGAAGCATGGTAATATTTCATGCTTAAAGTTCCCAATAGCTTTTGATTCCATTAATATAGGATGCTCCATCGTGATTTGCAACGTGAGAAAGAAAATAAAGTGTGGCCATATTCCCTTTAATCTTTCATTTCACAAACATGGTTTTTCCTACCACCTTAAGAAATGGGGAGGCTGCTAGGGAGAATGGAATGTAACCTGAGCTACAGCCTGACATTCCCAGGGAGCATTTTTCACATGAAAGGCTTTTGTCAACCCAGGAAAGGACCAGCAGTTTTTGTTTGATGTTTGCAGGTGTTCAGCAGAAAGCACTAAAACAATTCAGCCATGATGGTTCTGAGCTTCAATGACCTTAACAGGGAAAATTGGTGGGCTCTGGAATTATTTTTAAGAAATAGTTATAACCTATCTGGTAACTGAAACAAAGGGATTTAATATCCATTATATCATTGATCTTAAAACAAACTAAAAACATCCACATGCCTGGATGATAAGAAAATTATTCTCATTAAAAAATAGGATGACAAAGTTCCAAAAGAAAAAAAGATGCATCTAAGGAGTCTAAATTTACTGATGAGTAAGGATTTAATTTTCTGATATAGTGAAAGTACAGTTTATTTGGTTATCTTTGAGTCTTTTTGTGAGCAAAAGATAAACATACTAGCTTTGGGATCTTTTTAAAAAGTAGTTTTAGAGTTGGGCTACTAAAATTATGTATTCTAAAGAACTTGTTAGATCAGCCCATGTCACATCTGTTACATGGATTTACAGCTAGCCTGTGATGGATACTACATCTTCCTCCCTTAGTTTAAAAGTTGAGCTTTTTTCCTGTAACTGTTTAGTTTTACTGAGGTGTTCAGCAATTGTTAAAGATTTCCAAATGAATGGATGTTTGAACAATTAAGAGTAGCAGTAAAACACACCACATTTCTGTCGTGGGTCATTTTTGGAAGAGGGAAAACATTTCTTGACATTCACAGAGGTTAGCTAGCCTGTGCTCGCATGACACCAAAACTGCACACCAATTTTGTAAAGTCACTGAAAAGAAAAATATCAATCCAATGGGTAGTTCTGTGTGATATACAGAAAATTCAGTTGATTAGCATCCTGAATCAATTTGAGTTCATAACGATGGTGTGAAAAACAATTGGTGTTCTCTTCAAGGTATTTGTTGAGGAATGCTACTTACTGTCCTATGTGTGTGTCTGCATGTACACGTGCAGTGTCTGTCTGCCTTTTCAAACAGCCCCTTGTAATTGTGGTATAATTCATAAGAGTTATGTGGTTTCTAGTAAAGGACAAAATAATTTAATAGGTTTTAAAAAAGTACAGTGGCATTAAACCCATTATGTTAGAATCGTAGAATTTTGGGGATAGAAACTGCTTAGAAATGTACTGCCCAGTGCCTTCATTGCACAGAGAAAGAAAACTGAAGCTCAAGTTAAGAGCTTCCAAACTGTACTTTTATTTGTTATTCCAAAAAATAAGTTTTGGTTTGCTAATTCTCTGTGGCCCTGCAAATGCTTTATTGGAAGTAACGTTGGTCTTCCTGCTATCTTTCTGTCTTTTGTACTGCATGATAGGGTGTCAGGATTTGTGTGCTGATATTTGTGCATATAAATGATTCTGTATGTGCATGTGCCCTCTGAGTGCTTTCTCAGGTTTGGGGCTGAATTTTGGATTATTGATCATTCTGTTTTTGCTTTGTCTTCCCTGTGACTATTTTGCAAGATGTTGAGTAAAATATAGAATGTGGGTGAGCATGGCATAGTGCTTCTTAATGTGCCAGGGGGCGTGCTGTGTACCTTGTATTTGTTGCATTTTTTGATCCTTACAGGAACCCACTGAGATGCATGGATTACTGTGGTCAATTCATAGATGAGGAAACTGAGATAGAGATATTAAACAACTTGCCCTCGGCAGCCAGTAATGAAATTAGGTTTTAAACTCAGGTCTGCCTAGGTCAAAGTCCTGAGTCCTTCATACATACACACACACACACACACACACATCAGACATAGGTCATTTTTTAAAGATAATATAGACACACAATGTAATATTGAGGCTTGGCATGAAATGCTATCCATGATGTTTAGGGTAGATAGCATTTTTAAAAACATATTTAATGTAATGATATAAACCATACCCATTATTTTTCCTCCCTTAGTATCCAGATAAGCTGTCCTCCTAATTTACGATGGATTTCAATGTGGCTTAATGTCTTTCTCATATTATTGTTATTTTTACAAAGAAAATATAGTAGATATCTTAAAAGTTGTGCTTTCATTCTATTATAAATTGATAATCTACATGCCAGTGAAAATGTTTCATTATCTATTGTTTTTATGTAGCTATTTAAACCAAAAGTTGAGGTAGCCAAGCCTGACCTATTAATATCTAAAAAATCAGAGTCTCGTATCTTTAACTATAAAAAAGTTTTGCAGTTCATTGTTAGATCCTTGAAACTTAATATTCAAGAACAATAAGCC